CAAAGGGTACTAAAACTCATACAAAATATTAAATCCTTTCCATTTTTGGGCATTGAACAGACAGCACAGGATATTGATTTTTGAGATAAGAAATACCATGAAGAAGCCCCACAGTGGCCCTGGCTTTCTGCCTGTGGTCACTGACTGGTTGTAGCACAGAGTGGTGGGACCAAGCTGAAAGGTGACCTTAATCAGCTGAGGAGGCTGATATTGGAATTCCAGGCTACTGAAATAGTTGGACTTTGCAGGACAAGGAACTAGACAAGAAGAAGCCCATGATAGGGCAAAACTAGCAGAGTTCTGTGTAAGGATTCACTTTGGATTGTTGGCCAAGGGCTGGCTATACATGTGCAGAGTGAAACTCTCCATGAGGCCTAGCAAAGATTGTCTGTTGTAAGGCTAAGAGCTGAATGATGATGCCAGAGGTCATTCAGTGCTGGGAGGTATTGGAGATCCAGCTATATGTGAATGAAGAGACCTCACTGAGCACCTCAGGCATTCATTTGAGACAAACAGCCACACCCCCGAACAGCCACAGTTTAGGAGTCAGGTTGTGCTCTTGAGTAAGGGGGCCACACTCTAGAGATAAGTTCAAAATGGAAATAGAACTTAAGAAGGATTTACACCAAGCTTGACAGCACCAAAAGGATCTGCCAGCAGTTTGCCCACCTGCCAGAACAAACACCTTTAAAGGAAGACAGCATAATCCTCTCTCTTTAATGTATCATAACAGTGTCTAACATATAGTCATAAATTAGTAGACAAATGAAGAGTCAGAAAATGTGACTTAAGGGGAAAAAAGCAGTCAGTAGACCCTGAGATGATCCTGAAGTTAGAATGAGCAGAGAAATACTTCAAAGTAAGTATAATAAATACATTCAAGGACTTCAAGGAGAAAGTGGATAAAATGATCAAGCAGATGGGAAATCTCAACAGAGAAATGGAAATTACAAAAAATTTACCAAGGAAAATTCTAGTACTAGAAATGAAATGAAAAATTTACTCGATAAGATTAAAAGTGGATCAGAGACTACAGAAGAAAGACTGGTGAACTTGGAGACAGAGCAATAAAAATCATCTAATCTGAAAAAGGGGAAAATATTGAAAAAGAATTAACCGAGCCAGATGCAGTAGTGGCACACGCCCGTAGTCCCAGCTGCTTGGGAAGCTGAGGCAGGAGGATAGCTTGAGGCCAGGAATTCAAGGCTGTAGTGCATTATGTCCACATCTGTGGATAGCCACCACACTCAAGCCTGGCCAATATAGTGAGGCCTTGTCTTTTTCCAAAAGAAAAAAATATATATAAAGAAAAAGAATTAACAGTGTCTCAGTGACTTGTGAGATGATATCAGGAGTAATTTGAGTGTAATTTGAGTCCCAGAGGGAGAGGGGAAAGAGAATGAAGCAGAAAAAAAATATTTAAAGAAATAATGACCAAATTTCTTAAATTTGGTAAAGAAAACCTTAACTTACATATCTAAGAATCTCAGTGAACCCCTAGCAGGATGAATGGAAGGAGAACCACATCTAAGCCCATCATAGTCACACTGCCGAAAACCAAAGAAACAGAGGAAATATTAAAAGTGACTGGAGGGAAAAGGATACATCATATACATTATGTATTAACGATGGCTGGCTTTTCCTCAGAAACCCTGAAGGCCAGAAGATAGTGAAGCAACGTCTTTAAAGTGCTGAAAGAAAAAAAAAAATCTCAGAATTCTCTATTCAGAAAAAATGCCAACAAGCATGAAGACAAAATAAAGATATTTTTCAGATAAGAGAAAACTAAGAGAATTAATTGCTGACATACCTGCTGTACAAGAAATGCTAAATATATATATATGAGATATATGACCATCTAGAACAAAAATATATAACATTGTGTTATGAACGTGTAATACATATGACAGCTATATCAGAAAGGATTGGAGTGGAGAATGAAATTATGCAGTTGCAAAGTTCTTACATTTTACATGAAGTGGTACAATATTAATTCTAAGTATACTGTGTAGAGTTAAGGATGTGTATTGTAATCCCGAGAAAGGCCTCTAAAAAATAAAGAGTTAATAACTAAAAAGTCAATAGAGAAATTCAAATGGAATTCTAAAAAGTATTTAGTTTACCCAAAAGAATGTAGGAAAGGAGAAACAGGGGAACCAAAAACAGATGAGACAAACAGAAAATGAATAGCAAAATGGTGGACCTATCTCTAACTATATCAATAAATTAAATGTAAATGGACTAAATACCCCAATTAAAAGATAGAGATTGTCATTCTGGATCAAAATGTAAGACTCAGCATATACTGTCTACAAGATACATTCTTTAAATACAAAAAACCAGGTAAGTTCAAAGTAAAAGGATGTATAATAGACAGAGTAATATCGTCACCCCCTGTGCCCTGCTCTAATCCCCAGAACCTGTAAATGTGTTACCTTACGTGGCAGAAGGGACTTTGCAGATACAGTTAAAGTTATGGACTTTGAGATGGGCGATTATCCTAGATTATCCAATGGGCCCAGTCTAATCACATGGGTCCTTAAAAGCAGAGAATGTGTCCAGGCCGTGGTCTAAAAGAACTGTCACTATGGAAGAAGGGTCAGAGCAATGCTGCATTGCACGCTTTGAAGAGGGAGAGAGGGGCCATGAGCTAAGCAATGCAGGTAGTGTCTAGAAGCTGGGTATGGTGAGGAAATGATTCTTCTCTAGAGCCTCCAGAAAGAAACACAGCACTTCCAACAGCTTAATTTTAGCCCAATGAGACCCATGTTGAACTCCTGATCCATGTTGGACTTCTGACTTAAACTATTATCTTACAAAACTGTAAGATGATAAACTTGTGTTGTTATAAGCTACTAAGTTTGTGGTAATTTGTTAACAGCAGTCACAGAAAACCAATACAGAATGGAAAATGTACTAATAAGAGTTTTGAAATACATGAAATAAAAATTGACAGAATTAAAGAGGGAAATAGAAAAATCCACAGTCATAGTTGGAGATTTTAAGACTTTTCTCCCAGCATTTGATAGAAGAATTAGACCAAAAAAACACACAACAAAAAATAGCAAGGACATAGAACTTCTGAACAATACTATTAACTACCTTGACCTTATTGACATTTTGAGAACACTGCACCCAATTTTAGAATATACATTCTTTTGTTGTGCACATGATACATTCACCGAGATAGACTACATGCTGGACCACAAAACACATTTCTCTTAAACGTAAAAGATCATACCAGGGAAAACAAAAGAAGAAATCATACTGAATACATTCTCTGACCACAGCAGAATTAAATTAGAAACAAATAGCAACAGATGTAGGAAAATACCAAATGTTTCAAAATTAAACAAAGTACTTCTAAATAATCTATGGATAAAAGAAGAAATTAAAAGGGAAAATAAAAAGTATTTTGAACAACAAAAAAAATGAAAACTACAGTGTCAGAATTGTGGTTTGCAACTAAAACAGTGCTTAAAGGGAAATGCGTATCTTTAAAAGTCTTTTAGAGGCCCAGCACAGTGGCTCATACTATAATCCTAGCACTCTGGGAGGCCGAGGCAGGAGGATTGCTCAAGCTCAGGAGTTTGAGACCAGCTCTGAGCAAGAGCAAGACCCTGTCTCTACTAAAAAGAGAAAAATTAGCCTGGCATCGTGGTGAGAGCCTGTAGTCCCAGCTACTGGGGAGGTTGAAGCAGAAAGGTCACTTGAACTGAGGAGTTCAAGGTGGCAGTGAGCTCTGATGAGGCCACTGTACTCCACCCTAGATGACAGAGTGAGACCCTGTCTCGAACCTTATTAACTGCATTTTCAACATTCAGGGTACATTCATCTCTCCAGTTAGAACTGATCTTTTGTTCTGTACTCTGTCCAGCTATTTTACACTGTATTAGTAATATCATTTTAATGCATTCTACTTGCTAATTTATCAATCTCTTCCTTTCTAAACTATAAGAACATGTACTACATTCTTTAAGATTTTTTGGTTTCTAGCACAATGCATGCCGTTTAGTGGGTTCTCAGTAGTTTTTTTTTTTTGAGACAGAGTCTCTCTCTGTTACCTAGGCTATAGTGCTGTGGCCTTATCACAGCTCACTGCAGCCTCGAACTCTTGGACTCAAATGAACCTCCTGCCTCAGCCTCCTGAGTTGCTGAGACTACAGGCACATGCCATGATGCCCGGCTCACTTTTCTATTTTTTGTAGAGATGTGGGGAGGAGGGCTCTCGTTGTGCTCAGGCTGATCTCAAGCTCCCAGCCTCAAGCTCTCAGGCTCCCACCTCAGCCTCCCAGAGTGCTCGTATTACAGGCGTGAGCCACTGTGCCTGGCTTATTTTCAATAAATTTTGAAGGGAAAAAAAGGAGTGGATCTTGTCTTCTTATGAACTCTGTGGAGATAGGCAAAATAAGAATAACTAAACCCATTTTACAGTTGAGGAAATCAAGGCCACAGGCTCACTTAATGAACAAATAACAAAGCCAGGTTCAATATTCCTCAAATGTTTTCATTTCAGGCTCTAAACTGCTCACTGAAACATCATTAGAGAGCAGTATCTCCCCAACAGAAGTACAAATTTTATTCCAGACTCAAATATTAAGCCTTCATCAGCTTATAGTCTTTATCATCTAGTCTTCCCTTCTCTGGAGGATCTGCGAGGACTCTTCCAAGTTCTTGCAGCCATTTCATAAAGGCCTGTAGGAAGTCATCTGTGCTGAGCCTGCACTTTCTATAACAGATGGGAGACCTAGGTCCAGACCTCTTAATGGCTTTAACTTAGACAAGACTGTAGAGGTAGCCAGTGGTGGAGCCAGCACCACTACCTGGTCCCCACCCCCAGCCGGGTTTTGTCTGCGCTTGGATGAAGCACTCAGAGGCTTGAGGTTGGCAGCCCTTGGGGGTTTCAGGCCTGTGCAGTGGCTCTCAGCCACCCACACTGGTGGGGCTCTTGCACTGTTAGCTTCTTGTTTCTCTATTTTCTGCCTAGGTTTCAGTTTTTAACTTGGGTTTGTTTCCCCTTTGTCTCTGGTTCAGCTTCCTTTTCCTGTTTTGGCTTTAAGTAGTCTAAAAATCAAGTTGCCTTCAGAGGGTCTGTGGTCCTCTGATCAAGGCAGCCTTAGGGGAATATAGGACTCACCTCCTCAGGGTTCCCTGTGCACCAGCCTCTCAGCCATGGCCACGAGGTGAGTACTGGGACCAAAAAAAAGGGGACAGAGGGATGTCAAGAGGAAACCTGCAATCTTAACGGTGAAGGGACCATAGAAATCGTCCCAGATCCTCTTGTTATATTGATTGGCAAATCCAGGACCAGAGGGCAAGAGACTTGCCCAAGGTCACACAGCAAGTTAGTTTGCTCACTCTCCATCTGCTGGTCTTTCTATCACACAGGACTGTGTCTCTTGGGACCTGTGACCTTTAATGGCTTCTGGGCCAAAAGGGCTTACTCTGAAGTTAACTCCTGCCTCTGATTGTAGGAAGGAGGGTCTGAACTATCTTAGGGGATTGTTGTTTGGCTCAGAGGTGCAGCTGGTAGGTCCTGCTCTTCTCTCTGGACTGGCCTGAAACATACAGTATGTTTTCTCTACATACGGGCAAAGAGAGTTCCTTTTATAATAGAAACTTCATGAACTGTGATAGCAAGAACCCTGAACTTCTGCTTGAGAGACTTGTGACCTTAAGCTATTAGTCCCGTAGACTATTGCTGTTTAGCACGTGTGAGCACCAGCTGGTCTGCAGACTGCACTCCTAATTGGGAGTGCTCTTTCTAAACGTGAGATTACATGTTGGACCTGAATATTCACTGCCCTGTAACTCTGAAAGACTGTATGTGATAGGACAGAGTCTTATCTTGTGGGGTTTTGGCATTTATTTGATTAACTCGTTAAAGCTTCGTATCTTAGCATAAAACAATAAAGGTGCTATTTCACCAGTTTTCTTGTTTGATTCTTTCAACCCTGTTGGATGGGTGAGGAAGCTGTTACCATTCCCATTTTGTAGCTGAGAAGGCTTAACCTCCAGAAAGTCGTGGGGCTTGGCCAAGGTCACATGGCCAGTTGAGGAGGGACCAGAGATAGGACTCAACCAGAAAGGCCTCGTCCGGTGGTTTTTCCAGGACATTGCACAGGCTCTTTAGAAGCGTTTTGCAGTGAGTTACTAAAATTGACATGACAGTGAGCAGAGCTTGTCCGCTGTTCCTTCTGGTCCACGAAGGAGGCTTTACCAAGGGGAGCATAGCTCTTACCTCATGGCGCAGTCTCTGCTGAGCTGCTAGAATTAACTGGCCCCGGAAAACACGCTGCTTTTGTGTGTGTGTGGTTGTCTTTATTTCTGCTCTTCTGCAAGGAGAACAGGCAGCTACCAATTAAGACCTAAACTCCCCAATGAGTTACCTCCTAGTTTTCTATCATTTTAGTAATTTATCTTTAGCTTTAAAGCTGCAGTCCCCAACTGGTCCCTGACCTGTTAGGGACTGAGCAGCCACAGACCTCCACGCCCCCCCATGGAAAAATTGTCTTCCGTGAAACTTGGGGTTGCCATGGGGGTGGAGGCCTACACAGCAGGAAGCGAGCAAGCGAAGCTTCATCGGTATTTACAGCTGCTCCCCTCCCCATCATGCTCACTGGAATCACCCCCGAGCTCCACCTCCTCCCCCCACCCACTGACCTCCCCCATCCGTGGAAAAATTCTCTTCCACGAAACCTGTTCCTGGTGCCAAAAAGGTTGGGGACCACTGCTTTAACGGATTTGTATGGGGAGCAGTGGAAAACAGAATGCTTTCCATTTCAAAGGCATGTTAATTTCCAAAATAATTTTCAGTTGTAAATTACATTGTGAAAAGTTCAAGCAGCTTACTCTACTCTGTCAGTTGCTGATTGCAGAAAATTGTATCAGAAGTAAATGAGGAGGAAGCACAGTAATTTCTTTTCAAATGTCTTTTAAAATTGTAGAAGTATTAGAAGTTTCCACCTTGACCTTGGAGATGATCTACAGCAGATCATCTAGGTTAGCGGTGCTTTGGGTATCTTACCCTCTACTTCAGCCAAAATAACTCTACTTTTATCTTTTTTAATGTATTCCACAATATTTCATTGAGGAAAAAAAGTTGCTGGTGGTGATGACTTTGAATTCTGAAGATTGCTAATCTCATCTAGCTCTTAAGTGAACTGATAAGGAAACTGAGGCCCAGAGTGGGATGACTTGTGTGTGGTGAGTGGATTAGTGGCCAAACCAAAGCAAAAGCCTAGGTTTTCTTGTGCCTCCCTCCCCTATGCAAGGCTGCTGGCAGTCTGCCACCGGTCCCTGACCTGGTCCTGTAGTGACAGACCTGGTGGGAGCAGTGTTTTCATTTTTCCTCATGCTGACATGTAGGGATAGCTACATTCCTAGGTTACTGTGGTGCCTATGGTGGGGATACGAAGGGACTTCGTATAATGAAGACGTACCTTACCGGCCCTAGCCCAGGCCACCCGTCGATCAAGAAACGTGTTATGAGCCCCTCACTGTGGACCGGGAACTGGGAGCTCTCTTGAGCACATCACAGTATACCTAATGCTTTCACTGGCATTATTTCATTTAATTGTCACAACAGTCCTAAAGGTAGTGTTTTTATTGTCTCCATGCCATAGAGGAAGAAACTAAGGCAAAGAAACAGAGAGTAGCTTGACAAGAAACATAGCCAGTGATTGATAGATCCTGAACTTGAATCTGTGCCTCCTGACTACAGATACTTTGCTCTTTGGCTCTTACACTCTGAGTTAGAGCTGGCCCCTGCCCTCCAGGACTTGCAGAGAGTGGGGAAGACAGTGCTCACAGGAATGAGAGACTTGGTGTAAGGACCACATAGCTTAAACAATGTGAAGTGTAAGCAGGAAGAGCAACAAGAGGTGAGAAGTTGGGGGCTGTCAGGAAGGATGTCAAGGAGAAAGTGGGATTTCAGGAAAAGTTTGAAGATAGGGATGAGTTTTTAAAAAGGAATTGAGCAGATGTCCCAGGCAGCCGGTCACCCAGGGGCTGCTGTGGGTGCTGGGGGCACAGTGGTGAACAAGTCAGGTACTCTTGTCCTTAAATTGTACTTGGGGCAGTAGAGTGTGGGGGAAGCACAGTCAAGAAATCATAAACAAGAGATAGGAAAAAGATAAACTAGAACAATGTGGCAGAGAATGACTGGGCCGCTGCCTTGGCTGGTGCCCTTGGTGGGAATATTTACTTTGAGACCTCAGTGGCGGCATGAGGCAGCCATGCAGAAACCTGGAGATGAAAACGCTGGGGGCGTGGGAACAAGAGGGGCAGCAGGTGTCCTGAGATGGGAAAAATTTGCTGGGTTCAGGGGTAATTACTGAACCAAACTGGGGCCTGCACACCTGGCGCAACAAAGCCAGACATTGGAACTGAGAGTTGCAGCAAAAGAAACGGCATTTTTATTGCTTGGCGCCTTGCAAGGAGAATGAGCTGCTAACTCTTAAGACCCAAAGTTCCCAATGATGTACAATCCGGGACTTTTAAAAGTGGGGTGCATTTCAGGAAACACAAGTCGAAATGAATACATGGAGGTTATATATTGGCCTGGCCCATAAAGGTGGGATGTCCTGAAGCGGCGGACCTGTGGATCATAGGTAGATTCAGAGATTGTTGGATGAGCAGAAGGGAATGTTAAGATGGGTGTGACTCTCTCCGGGCTCCTCAGGGGAAACTTAGAACAAAGAATGGCAGTCAGAGTTCAATTCCTCAGTTTCCCTTATCTGCATTTTCCATCCGTTGGGGGTTTCTGAAAAACAACTCAAGAACATATGTTAAGATGCCATCTTTTAGTTTCCATAGGGAACCAAAACACCTCATGACTCTGGCTTGCTTGGAGGGCCACTGTTATTTCCATTCACTTTTCAAGGCTAGCTAGATGCCCAGAACTTGCCCTGAAGGGACTCAAGGTTTTCCTTTATTTCCATGCTTGGGGAGCCTGGCAGGCCCCTAAGAGGGACCCTTGCTCCATCTCAGGGTCAGAAAAAGAATAGGGAGGTGGAAGCAACATGATTAAGGGAAGAGTGAAGGGAAATAAGGGCAGAGAAAGCCTTCTCATGCCTGACTGCATAAAGCCTGTGAGCTGTGCTGTGGAGTTTAGATTTCACTCATAGTATTGTGGGAAAGCCTTTGGAGCGTTCTAAGCAGAGGGAAAGACATCTGATGGAGGCTCAAGAAAGATCACTCTGTCCACTGTGTGGATAATCGTCAGCCAGGTGACAAGAATGGAGGCAGGAAGACCTCTTGGGAGGCTACCACAGTCATCCAGGTAAGAGGTGATGGTGGTTTGGACTGGCAGTGGAGCAGTCAGTGTAGGTGGTGAGAAGTCACCAGATTCAGGAAGCACTTTGGAGGTATAGCCTCCAGGACCTGCCGTTGGATCAAATGTGGGTTTGAGAGAAAGACACAAGTCAGACATGACTCAGGTGGGTTCCTTTAACCAAACTGGGGAAGACTCGATACAGGTAGCTGGAGGAATCACTGGGGGTTTGGCCCTACACAGAATGGGTTCCCAGTAATGTTGGCTGGACAAGGCTGACCTAAGTGGGAACTAGTTGACTTCACAGTGCAGCAGCAAGAAACACTGTATGAATGAGTGATACATGTCTGCCACTTCATGGGCGAGCCAGTTAATTTCAATCCTTTCCCTAGTCTGTTGTCTTTATGTGCTTTGGGTTTTTTTCTAAAGCACTTACCACCTTCTGACGTATTGCTTACCACCTTCTGGCATATTACCATCAAAGCAAAATAAAAATGCAGAGATGAATCTCTGAAATTAAAACGTTTTATTTGAGAAGAAAGAACTGCAGTTCAGGGCATACCCGCAGAACACTGGTCTTCAGTATCTCTGAAGAACAATGAGGATGGAGGTTTTATAAGACGAGAAGTGTTATGTGTTGCTCTTTGAGAAAGTCCACTGGCGCTAGTAAGGTTCTGGGGAGCTGGCCAGCTCTGACTGGTGAGCAGCGGCAAAATTAGTCAAGAGTAGCAGCAAGTTATTTCAGCAGTCAGTAAAACTAGTCTCAGGTTACAACAGGCAGTTTCAGCAGCTGGACTTGCAGAGAATTACATTTCTGGAGCAATATTATGTGTCCTGAATGCTTTTCCCCTCTTGTCTCTGGACTCTGTTTTAGTTGGGTGTAATAAGAATGACCCAATTTGTAGGATC